CTCTCTTTTTCTTCAATTTAGTAGGATACAATTTCTCTTCTATTGCATTCCCACCATCAACTTTTTTCATGAGAATTTCCTACAAATAAAAGAAAAGAAATACTTATTATGTTCAATTTTTAATTATTGTGATTAAATGTAAAAAATGGATTAGCTACCTTACTTATCATTTATGAGTCACTTAATTTTTCGTTAAACATTATAAAATAAATAACAATCTCTAGACTTTGTACACTTTGGTTTTCTTTAGGGGGAAATTGACCGTTCAGAATGAAGTCGTAAGTAGACAGAAGATTCATGCTGCATTCACATGAGAGTGAATCAAAAGTCAACAGAATAACTATTTGAATTCTTCTGTAAATCTATATTTAGAATTTTCCCAAAAACTCAATTCAAATAAAAAGTAATTTTGAAAAAAATTATTAATAATTTTAACACAATTTTAACTGTTGCGTCTTTAATGCCTTATACTATTGTACTGGAGCGACATTTGTACCAGTACTATACTGTCCTGAACATTTTGGTCATATAACATTTGTGCCCCTTTCGAAATGTGCTAGCAGTAAATTTACAATGTTGGTGGAGTAGAAACAGTTTCAACCGTTCATTGTGTTTATTTATTCAATGATCCTCTAGTACATGTATTTATTGGATATAAAGTATATTCATTATGATTAGTAGAATATTCATTGATTATTTTTTTTATTTATTTACCAAAAAAAGTATATATTTTAATTTATCTGTACCTCAAAATTATGAAAAATTCAAAAAAACATGAAAACATGATTTTAAATCTATTTAATTTTCTCCTAATATTTTCAATAATTTGTCGAACCCGTTTCTTTTCTTTTCCAACTTCTCTTCTTCTTCTTTTTTTCTTTTTGATGTGTAATATCTGGAACAAGACATTGAACTATAAAATGACAATGTTCATTTGGTTGTACTTTACTTCATTGTTATTGCAATAAAATAACCCTTACATTTTGTTTCGCAGCTTGAGATTTTTCCCACACTACCTCTTTTTTTTTTCTTTGTAGAAACATCTATTTTAATTTTTTGTTTCGTTTGTTCATCTTTTAGTAAATTTTGTGTTCTTGTTTCGATGACCTTTAAATTGAATTTTATTAAAAAGTATTCAGAAAATCAATCACACCGATTTTTTAATATCTCTGTACAGTCACAACTATTGACAGATAAATAAAATATCTTCGTCTGACAATTTATGATTAATTTACCGCTACTATCAACTACCGTACTTACTTGATTTATGTATAGGTACGTTTGACAGAAAGGAGCATTCAACACGCTCACCAGCGCTAAAAAAACATTTATTGAAAGATGGTTGTTTTATTTAAGTAATAGGTACACGGTATATCCCCCCCCCACTATTGATACACTCCCCAAAACTTTATTACTTTTTATTAATTTTTTATACCAAAAAAAATTTACATTTATAATTTGGCGCCTCAGTAATTCTTTCATTTTTTACCAACATAATATTTTCCATAGTCATGCAGCAACTTCATGGTAGTAACAACTTTATAAAAAAAAGTCGTACTTTTAAGGAAAAAGATTCTTTTTACTTAGAATGCGGTCCAAGGGGCGTGGCCAATTTTTATTTTTGCAAATAAATGATTTTCAGGACACAATAGCAATTGCAATTTATTGTCGTAGCTAATCAATGGGGTTTTCAAAGATTTTTTAATAAAGTTTATGTCATTATTGCAGAGAAATTAGAAATTTAAAGGAGCATAACCTCAAAAGTGCTAATTTGAGCGGAATAGAGACACGGTAGTGCCTTCGTCACCGCTATTCATACTTGGCGCTCGAGACACTACTAAAATAAACGTGTCTCTTGACCCAAAACTCCAACTCTTGAAAATTTGATGTTAAGGCTGGGCTGAAGTCAGAAAGGCGACTGATTCCCCCTATCCAAATACATGGGATCGGGAAATTTCTAATTTCTTCGCCAATTTACAATTATTTCTATAAAATTAGGTACCAAATTACAGAGGAATTAATGCCGGACTGACGTAAACAACAATTTTTTGTATATAGTGAATATTTTTGTTAAAAAAATTAGAAAGAATAATGAAAAAATTATGAATTGACTTACCGCGCTTAAATTTCAAGATGGCGGCCACATCATTCAGATGAAAAATCACTAATTATTTCATTTTTATACGTTTTTCGCCCAAAATTCGTGTTTGCGTCAGTCCTTGCCACCTGTCTGAATGTTAAAAAAATCAATTCATAGTATAAAATTGAATAATTTAGAAATAATTAGAAATCTTGTATTCCAGATGATATTCTCCGGAAAATTAGTTTGAAAAAATTCTGATAGGTGACAGCATTATGCTCGCAGATGACCTCAGTCATCCATATTGAAAAAATGCTCAATCCGTATCCAGAACTGATGGTGCCCTGCATTTTGGCGAGTAAATTCTGTATGTGTGTGTACGGGTAATATATGTATGTGATGTAAACATAGTGTATCACTTTACAATGCCCTACACTTTGATGACTATTGCAGTTAGGATAAAAAAAAATGATGATACTCATTTAACATTAATTAATATAATACCTGCAAATAACTTCAAATACATATATTCATCCATTATTATCATTTTTATTAGGTATAAATGTTAATAAGGAAGCTCAATTCCAAGTCGGCGTATCCAAGCATGTAGTATAAAAACAAATATACATTAACTCAATATCGAGATTATGCTGGCCATGTGGTTAGGGCGTCAGAGTTCTATTTTGCCGGGCAGGGTTCGATCCCAGTCATAACCAATTTTTTTTTTCTACTTTATTCGTTAGATTAGCATGTAATTATAATATTGACATGCTATAATTAATCTTTTATAACAATTTGATTTTTTTTTCTCTTTATTCATTGAATTTATTGACGCTAAGTCGAAAAATATTTGAACAGAGCCATAAACTTTCTTTTTGTATAAATACATTGATAATAGCCTGTGTTTAACAACTTATACATCTTTACATGTATTAACAATGTTATGTTATTAACAAGTTAATCATATTATTATCAACATTGAAAAGTAGTTTAAACAATCCGTGGCGAGTTCCGGCACTTCGCTGGCAAGCTCTACCCCCACTCTCTATGCCCAAGCCTGCAGCTTATAATTTTTGAGCATATATAAATGTTTTGTAATCATAATAGCTCGGTGGTTAACGCATCGGTCATTTATTTTGATGGGCAGGGTTCGATTCCAGTCATGGTAAAGTTTTTTTTTTTCTTTTTCATTTGTTAGATTTGCATGTAATTATAATATTAACATGCTAAAATGAATTCTTACCAACGATTTGATTTTTTTTTCTCAATTATTTATGTAATTTATCAACGTCGAGTCGGAAAACATATGAACAGGGTTATAAACACTTTTTTTACTATAGCTATATGAACGTAGCTTTTTTTTAAGCAATTTAGAAATATTTAGAAGTAGTTGAAATAATCCACGGGGATTTCCGGCACTTCGCCGGCAAACTCTATCCCTACCCTTCGTACTCAAGCCTGCATTATACAATTTATAAACATAAACATGATGTTAGAGATAATATGTTAGCTCTGTAGGTAGAACACCAAGCTTTCATTTTACCGATTAGGGTTCGATCCCAGTTATAGCCAATTTTTTTTTTTCATTAAAATTTTATATAAATACAATAATTGGTTGTTTGTAGAAGTTCAAAATCAATTCATAGTGTCTTTTAAAGACAACATTTTCTAAAAAAGAGAATTCATAGTAACTCGTTCCTCACCCTCAGCTTATTTTCAGAAAAACAAGTTTTTTTTCGTAATTAATTGGAAGAATAATGTAATAAAATATATGAATTGATTTATAAGTATATAAAGTCACTTGAACAAGAAACAGAAAAAAAAATTGCCTATGACTGGGATCGAACCCTGCCCAGCAAAATAAAAGGTCGGGGCTCTAACCACTGAGCTATTATAGTTCCAATTATATAAACGATGCTTGAAAATTATAAGCTACAGGCTTGGGCACAGAAAGTGGGGGTCGAGCTTGCCGGCGAAGTATCGGAACTCGCCGCGGATTGTTTAAACAATTTTTTATTATTAATAAGTTGTTAAAAAAGGCTATTATCAATGTATTTGTACAAAAAAAGGTTAATGGCCCTGTTAAAATATTTTCTCATTTGTCATTGATTAATTGAAAAAAAAATTTTACATAAAAATTGAAATTTAAAACTCATTTTTGGCATGATAAAATTGCAATTACATGCAATTTAAATAAAAAAAAAATTTTGCCGCAATTGGAATCGAACACCGTTCGGTAAAATAACTGGCGAACCTTCTGACTATAGAGCTAGCATATTTTCATTTGCTTTGTTTACGTTTAGATATCGTAAGCTTCAGGCTTAGTAACAGAGGGTGGGGAATGTGCTTGCTCGTCAACTGTTCGAACTCGCAGTCTTCTCTGAAAAATAAGACGGAGATAGATAGATATATTTTGTGCTCTGTCTTGCTCGGAACAGATTATTCTGAAATTTGTAAATTTCTTGGTACCCTAAGGCTCCCTTTTTGTAGTGCATCCCTGAAAATTATCATTTTTCGAACGATTTCTCTGTTACCTACTCAATTTCAATTGATATCGAGCTTCGGCTTTTCGCCGCACAACGTGAGGGCGTAAAGTCAACTCCGGGAAACTTTCTGACTTCAGCCCAGCCTTAATTTATGTTATATTCAAAATTAGTTTATGTACGAAAACTCTTATCTGACTTTCATTCTTGAAACATTTTAAAATTTTTGAAAATGTAAAAAAGAGTAATAAAATTAAGGATAAAAAATGATGTTTTGTCAAATCAAATGTTCTTTTTCAAAAAATCAATCAATCAGTAAAGTAATATTTTTTTCAAACGTTGAAAGATATAAATGACCCCTACTTTATTTGTTGTAGATAATAAAAATTTCTTTTGTATTACTAATTATCAACAATGAAAAACAAGGAGTTTGTAAACTTGTTGCACATAATATTTTGTTTCTATTCTAAAATTATATTACACAAGTGTTGGTTAATGCAAGAAAATAATAATCACACAAATATATTATTTCCGGAACGTCACTAATTAGTTTTTCCTATTCATGATGAAATATCTTCAATAAAACACTGAATTTGAGTCCAATTAAATTGCGTATTTAATTGAACTGCAACACTGAACATTATCTATAAGTTTTGAGCGAAACTAAACAAAAGTAAGATAATATTATTAATGATGATCAACTACTTTATGGTTTAAAAATATTTCTTTAATGATTTTTTGAATTATCTATTGATCATTCTGCAGTTTAAATCTACCTTTTCTCTTTTTCAGCTGTATAGGTTAAGTTGAATTGAAGTTTAGCTTTAGAAATTTGTGAAGTTTGTCCATGGGATTTATTGATAATGAATTACAAGAAGTGTCCAGACTCTGTCAAAATGTTGTCCAAGGAAGTAAATTGGTTTCTTGTGTGCAATCAATGGTTCGAGCAGAAATAATGTAATTATTTGCAGTTATATATACATAGTTGAATGTTAGTCATGATGACAACAGTATTTTGGGTTTCTAGAAAGACTGATTTTAAGAAGATCATCGTCTGTATTCAATTTCCGAAAGATTACCCGCATACTCCGCTTCTTATTGAATTAAAAAGTAAAACTCTTTCATCTAAATTATTATCAGGACTCACGGATGTCTGTGAGAAGAAATGTAAACAAATCTTGGGAAAGGCACAAGTACTATAACTACAATTTGTTATTCGTTATATTGTGACATCATTTTAATCGAATTTATTTTTATAGATTCTTCCAACTTTAAAATTCATCTCAAACTTTATTGAAGAAAATCCATTAATTTGTTGTTATGATGAAATTACAACAATAAAAAAACTTTTAGGAGATCAAGACAGTTTAAAGCTGAAGCAGAAATCTTCTTCAGTCAATTTGGAAATTCGTCAAGGTCTCTATTTTTATAAAACGAAAATTATTATTCCAGATGATTATCCTACATCAGCAGTGAAGTAATTTTACAATGATTATTGAAGAAAAATTAGTTTATCGAGTAAAATATTACAGAAATTTTTTTTATGATTAAGGATCACTGAGGTGGAAACAAATTTTCCAAAATTGTTTACTCGTTATTTTCTTGGACAAGGTCAAGAATTGGGACGCCAGTGTGTAGAGCCACCATTAAAAAAGAAGCTCAATCACATATTTTCTCCAACTCCTTCTTTAAATACTGTGACATCCTTTCTTATCAGGTATAAACTTATGAGGCATATGTAATTATAGTTTTTTCAGTTTTTGAAACATTAAAAAATGTTTAAAAATTTTTTTAGAAGTGTTAAAGCATTACCAAATGAAAAATGTCAGCTTTGCAAAAAAGTTTGTTTTCCTGCTGATCCGTCCTTCGCAATTCTAGATGAAAATGCTGATGTACATGTTGAGAGACTCTATTGTAGTCATCTCTTTCATCTACAGTGTCTCATGACATTTATGAAAACACCTCCATTTCATGGTATTAGAAAAATCAAGCAATTGTTTATTAATATACTTAAATTCAATGCCTAAAATATTTTTAATATATCAAATTTTTTTCAGGTGGTAAAAAATGTCCATCATGTGGAAAGCAAGTATTCCATGACAAATGGGGTGTTAGCGATAAGTTAGCAGAGGACCGATGGGCACATGAACAAGCGCGTGCTAGAGAACTTGCAGAAGTGGCAGATTTTTTCGAGTAAATCAGGACTAATGTAATACACAGTCCAATATTATAATCTTTTTTTATTGGAAGTATGAAATACTATATTGTGGTGGATAACAGGTTTGTTAATGATAATTTGCATAAGTTTATGAATACCAAATATTTCATGATTAATTTACGAAAAATTAGTCAATTATTTAAGTACAACTTTACATGACATCTAGAGAAATATATTTGCCGTATTTGTATAAATAAAATGCAAACATTTCTGGGAAATAATTGTGAGTTGTATAGAGACGATTTTTTGATCAATCGATAATATTTTTTTTAACTGAAAATTTAACAAAAAAACATATTTAATATATTATACATTTGGATTAAAATAAATTTTATTAATTAAGTTGATCAAAAATTTGTTTTTAGACCCTACAAAAAAATTAGTTTATAAAAACTTGGTCAAATACTACTGATAGTACTAGTGGTAGAACGATATAGTTATAGTGGCATATTGATCCTTACTACTACCTAAGGTGATCCTCTACATTTTTTTCTTTAAGCCGGTTTCTCTTAGTCTCGTTTATCCTCTCACATGATAATTTTTCTTTTTTATTTGTCTTCTCTAGTGAACCCACACAAATGTATTAATCGACTATAGGTTCGTATACATTTATTATTCTTTGCATCAGAGTATAAAAAACCAGAACAAAACTCACTCCTACGGGCTTTTTGCCAGACGGATATTTGTTTTACATCGTATTTGCAACGAGATCCTAGATGCATATAGTGGATTATTTGCATTAGACAAACGTCATAGTTATGGTAAGGCGTGGTTAGAGTTTTTTTTCCAGTCTTATTAATGAATATCAATTAATACTGAATTCATTCAGACGTTGATTAATTTATTAAAGCATTATGAGAATAAATTTTAAGTCTTTATTAATTGTTTTCAATAAATTATCTAGTAATAGATATGATTTTACAGAAGTATTTTTGTTTAATAGTTCATTCAACTTTTAATCGTTAATTTATTGAAATTGGTGAAAATAAATTAAATAAATATATAAAAAATAAAACATTAAAATTTATTATTCAGTAGGGATATTCAGAAATATTTGTAGAGTAACAAATGGTTGAGTTATTCATTGTTTATTTTATTTTAATTGCTTTGATTAAAGTTTCAGGAAGTTCAATGCCATCAAAAGTAATGAAGTAAATAAAGAATTAAATAGCAACGTATTAAACTGATGTGTATAATCAATATGTAAACATTTGCTAAAGTAATTCTAACATCAACTCATACTCATATCAATTAAACATTAAATCTCTTTATTCATCATACAGATAAAAATCTTGCAATTGTCGTTAGTTTTAATAGAAAATGTCTAATCTCTTTAGCGCTTCTACTTTAAATTATTTGCGGGAGAAGGTTCGTTGATCTCTAGCGAAATATATATATTCACTGCTTACGCAATGCACGTATCGATTTAACTAGTTAAAAGCTGAAAGCTCTGATTAGTGGTGTCAAAAAAATATTTGATAATAATTTCACAAAATTTTCTGTTAATATTTGATAACAATTAACGTACAAAAGCGTTGGAGATAAATTTCATACATCACGATTGATGTCTTCCTAATAATAGAATCAATAGAAATAATGTTGAATTAATTGATGAGTTGGATAAACTGTTAAACAGTTTAATGTTTAGCTGTTGATATGTTTAACATGATACATGCAGGATATGTGAATGTGTTTGAGTATCAGAATGAGCATAGAGAGACAGCTTGGCAGACTAATACCACTACTATACGTTAAGCCACCGAGAAACTGAGGTATGCGCTTACACGATGCGGATAGCACTCTCCACCCCATCGAGAAATGCGCCAAATAGTTTCAGCATCAGTTATTACTCCAGCAGCAATAATTCATAACTTCGAATTCAATTCAATAGTCAATAGCCATGGGAGTCTAACCCGAATAATTTCTCGTATCGTTCAATAACTTTCTCATTAATAGTAATTTATTCTTCGATATTAGTTAGCTTTCTATGAATTAATTAATTTGTTCACATTTCTCTTGGTAAATGTGACTTCGTGAGATAGATATAAGATCATTATTCCAATACAACCGTTTAGTACTTTAAGAGAATAGAATTTTTAATTAGTTCTATGGTTCATTTACTATTAGTTATAGTTATTTCATTATTGGATTATAACTTTATTGACTGATAATTTTATTATGAAAGAAAGAAACATAAATTATTGGAATAAACAAATGAACAAAGACTTTTCTTAAATTTAAAAAAAGCATTGTGAGTTGTCATGTTTAAAAATTTAATTTTTGATTTACTGATTATTTTTTTTTTTATTTTCTTTTTTCATGTTATTGAAGAGCAGACTTTTTCATTTTAATTTCTTTCATATCTCTAAAATGTATATCTGAAAAATACTCAAAGTATTCATTATAGTATATCGACGTATGCCTCTCATGAGTGATGGCATCGGATGTCACGTGGTGTCGTACTTTAGTATCACGGAAATTTAGGAAATACAGTCTGCGTTGCACGGATATGACTAGATATTCTTTTCTAAGGAAATGAAAGGTAAGCAGGTGTGGGTCAATTCGATAGATCGAACATCAGGAGTATTATTGTTATACGATGCTAGATAATGTCAATGTGCTTTAGAAGAACGACCATTTAAACTATCACAAAATGTAACAAAATACAAAGAATAAAATGAAAAGATTTTCTAATATTGGGCTTACCATCTCCACGAGTTATGTTACAATAATCATTAATTTAAACATTTTCCTTGTCATTTATAGATAGCTGAATAATTCAGTTAGTGACAGTCTTGACAGCTAAATAAGTCAAAAGGCAATTTTATTGCCTTTGGAGGAATAATTTGCGGTGTGAGAAGAGAAATTGATGAGATACCTTCCCCACTGGCTGAAGCTTGCAATAACGTTCCTCTGGAGAAAATGGATAGACAGACAATTGTCTGCATTCACTTCAACGATGGGCGTTATGTTGTTTGCACAAAGTAGTGTTTGCTACTGTCGTTCTATTCTTTGTAGTATTAAGTTGGGGGTTAGTCAATGGCGTACTACCAAACGATTACATACGCTCCAAGCCATTCTTTTCTTCATATCACACTCGTATAGTTCCTGTATTTGCACCTGGGGCAATGTACCCTCTTGTTCTTTTTTCCATCCTTCAACTCTTGTTATAGAGAAGTTTTTTTGCGTCATAAATTTTTTCATTTTCATGTCTGTACTTTTTTTTTAGATTTTAATCGTTTTTGTATTGATTTTGTTGTTTAAATATTATTTCAGTGAAATAGAATTCAAGAAATGTGATATGAATGAGACGACTAAAGATATCGAGATTGAAGTGATTTGAAGTATTGGAAATAATGATTTTTGCATGTCATATTATTTATGGATGAGACCTGTAAGTTATTTATTTTTTCAAATTATAATTTCGTTATTTAATCGATGAAAGTATAACTTTTTATTTATCAATGCATCGATATTAATTTTGATTTAAAAAGATAGTATGTTTTTTTTTCTTCAAAAATTGAATCAAAAATTACTTTTAATGTCGAAATATATTTAGAAATTCATGAACAAATGAACTCATAAGCATGATATAAATCAACTTAATTCGTCGAAAATCTCGAACAGTTCTTGGATAGAAAATAATGAAATTACGTAACAAAAAGAATTTTCAAGGCACAAAGTAAATTGGTAAATAAGAGTGATAGAAGTAGATGGCACAAGCAGCGAGGATGTAAAAGGAACTAATAAATAAAGCAAGGGACGTAATTCACTGTCGAAAAGTTTTAAGGCAACGTCACGCGCTTACAAGACCTCATTAGATCCTTCGACCTGGTCGCAAAAAAGGTGCGTGTCAGGCTTGTTTCATTCAAAATGGGAAAGAGTAGGGAATGAGCAAAAAAGTCTTAGGGGTGTTATGGCGAACAGGGTACCGGTTATTAGCTGGCGTTTCATAGACAACTAAATGAGCTTAATGGTTAACAGATATGCACATAATCGTCTCCCCTTTATATACATTCTCAATGTTGAGAATACACCTATAATTACATGTAGGGCCAGAGCGTCGTGGATCAATAGCTGGAAAATGGCCGGAAGCCAAGTCCGACGATGTCGTTTCGAGTTTTGTCGTTGTCACTGAACCGATGGGTAACCCGTTTCTCAGCTTGTCCCACTTGTAAGCACAACAGCAACTTCTGAGACCACACCTACACCCTCTTCAATGTGCCAAGGTTCATGAAAATTTTTCATCAAAATTGCACTTATGATATTGCCATTTTTTTTTAAAGAGGAAATGAAAATAGGGGCGCGGTTTTATTTATTTTTTAAGCTTATATTTATGAAACGCAGGTGCAATACACCCTCATCATCACATTCAACTAAAATAAGTACCTAATCACGAACAATTGTTTTTTTCATTATCATAATGATTTTTTTTTGTTGGTATTATCTTTTGAAAATCCTTAACCGTACACAAACGAATACCACAAATATAATTTTATATTTGAATGACTGTAGAAGCATTCATCTGAAATTTTTCAAGTTTTTTTCAGCAATACAATTCAGCAAAATAAAAAATACAATAAGGGATAAATGCTACAAGTTGAAAATTAAAAAATAATATGAACAAGTGTGACAAATTATTGGAATAATTTTCAATAGGTGTTTGATTAACTTCATGTCCAATTATCAACAATCATTGGTATGAAATATGCATGAAACTGAAAACTGTGCCGTGTACATTATCATGGATATGAATGTATTGATCATAATAGGCATATATAGGAAGGGAGAGAAAATGAACGGACAGATACACCGAGGTTGCATATACGATAAACTGGAAACTCGATTGCCCAGCTCCTCGATGGGTCATGGAATCTTATTGGTTTCGACGAGTCGAGTAAGCAGATAAGCTCATGTCCCGTGAGCGAATGTATCCACAAGGGTGTTAATTTGCTGAATTTTCATGGTCGACGAATAAGTAAGTGTATATATTTAAGCCTCGTGATTCATCCTCTGTAATGCTGTTGTTTAATGCATTGAATGTTTAAACAACACGAATATTTGCATAAAAAGATAAATTATACAGAAGAGGCATAATTTCTTAATTTAATTTAATTCTATAGCAGAGAAAATATCTTTTCATTTTTTTTTTTAAGAATCTTCAAGATGCTTTTAAAAACTCTTGAATATCTTATGGATGATTGTTTCAACCTGTAGGACTCTCGTAGATAGAAAACAAATTGAGCATTTGGAAATAATCTTGTTTTCTTTGTGGAGACTCCTGGTGCTTGCTGATAAGGACTCTTCTGTAGCTTCTTTTTTTATCCTCTTTGAAGGATAAAATACGTTAATAAGAGGTATTAAAAAATGCTTTAAAGCTTTTTCATTATTCAGTACTTTATTTTATCAAATTGGCTTTTACCTTTTAACATTTTTTTATTTCCTTGTAGAAATTTTAATTAAATGGATAAATTTAATTAGGAAAACATCTATTTTATATTTGAAAAAAAAATTAATTTCAATAAAAGAATCCACTATTTTTGAGTTTTGTTGCCTAAAATTTGTACAAAAGTAATTTTCTCTTACTCATTCTAGAATTTTCTCCCTTGAAAAAAATCAATCCTTCTTTTCTGTCATCTACAACAGGCCGTTCTTATTCGCTGGTTTTTACTATTCAGATAAGAAACTGTCGAACGGTTGGAAAAGAAGTTCTACGACCCTTCATAGAAAGATCTTTATCCTTATTATATAGGAACTTGGACGTGCCGTCTGGCATGAAAGTTTATTTAAACATGTGAGGGGATAGTTGGCGCGTGCCATCACGCATACAAAAGTGCAGGTTGCTTATTTTTTTACTTCCCTATTTATTTTATTCGTAATTATTATACATAATATTTATTACTAAACAATGTTACAGGTAATTCTGAGGCAATTGTGGTAGTCCTGCTGAATAGGTTTGAATAGGAATGGATCTTGTTTTGTGGTCAAGAGTATACGTAACAAGAGTAGCAAATGATCCAGAAAGGCAGCTGCAAATGTTCATTTGGTCTTGTGGAGCTCAAACGGCGCCATGAAAATTTAACTACAGATTTTGTGTTATATTTTCTTAAATAGAATTCACTGTAATTCACCCTTGGTCAGCAAGAGAATTCTCGAAGTCGATTTTAAGTGAGTGAATTTTTCTAGGCTTACAGTTGCATTTATTTGTGTCACGTAACATCGCATGAAAGCAATAAGGTAATAAATGACACTTTAACATGAGGTATGAGTTAATCGATGGAATATTTTAATCATATACTGTATAGTTACTTTTCGTGATTTATTATATCTCTTATCATCCAGTGCAATGACAGTGTAAATTCATTTATAGTTTAATAAGAAGCTAATTTTATAAAATGGCATTGGAAATATTTATGTATATTAAACATTGGCTTAATCTACATTAATCTTTTTTTATCAATAACTCTTTTACTAATTTATTTGATAAATAAATAAATTAGGAATAATTCAATGTAACTTGATTCAGTCATTTGATTAGTTGTTTTTTTTCTTAATTACGGTAGGTAGAATGAATTATAAATTACCCTTGGATAATTACTTGTTCCATTCAAGTATTTAACAGCTATTAATATTTCATATTGATTTATAGAACTCTACTAGTGAAAATTTAGTAATAGATAATTAAATTATTGTTGCAAAAAAATATTATTAACATTTAAATTAGCATTTTGCAAAAATATTTGACCATAGAAATGTCATATTGAATGAGTCAGTTTTAATCAGAGAGTATCCAAAGACTTATTAGCTGAATAAACACCTTTAGGTGATGCTCTGATTTTTGTCAACTCTGGTGAATATAGAGTTGTATTCAATATAAATTGACTGATAAATGATATTCTATACATGTAGGTAACGACATAGAAATGCCTGTAGGCAGAGATATGAGCTACTGAGAAAGGCCCACGCGCCTTGCGGGGTCCCGCAACAACAAGTTGCAACCACCTGGCGCGACCACTCATTGCCTCCAGGTGCTCAAGAACCCCCTGCCTGCCTGCCTGCTGTCCACGCATGTCTGAGAGAGTGTAGGCAAACGTAAAATTGTTCATGTTCGTTCAAATGAAGAAGGACGAACTGTAAGTTTCACTTTAACCAAGTATTTAAAGTAAAATATTAAATCTTTGAATTTATTTATGAATTATTCTATAAAAATTGTCGAATATAATTACTGAAAATATACTGTAAAAGTTTACACGTTTTTATTTTTTTTACCGGTTCTTAATGAAGACAAATCACCCGGAAACTCTCTATCACTTTCACTGGTGTTTGAGACAAAAGAACTGAACATTAAGAGTTGAGAGAACTTTGTTGAGAGCCGTATGTAACTGGAAGTTGGAACCCCCGTCGGAAACTTCCAAACAACAAACATCATCATCGTTAAATAAGTGCAGTTAATAAAGGTGTAGATTTGAAGTGTTTTTTTTTGCCAAGTTTGTAAAAGAAGAATGAATTCAAAAGACGACGATAAGAGTTGTGAGTTGAAATTAAAAAGACAATGGACATGAAGAAGATGGAGATAGTTAATGGATTAAGTATGAGAAAATAACAGTAGTGGAGGAGCAAGAGGTAGGGTTCCCGGCAGGTCGCGGAGCTTCAGACACGAAGCATCGATTCGCCAGGACGATGGCTCTGCGGGGAATCGCGGGGTGTCTCGCGTGAAGTCGCCGTCGCGACGCCGTTGTTGGCGCTGCTGCTGCTCTCCACCACCAACCACCACCACCTTGGCCGTTTCTGGTGGCACGAATGCGACGCGCGTGCGGCAAAGGGTCCGGCGCTGACGGCCGGCGTCCGTGTGTGTGCCGCGTTACGTCGTTCTGCTGGTGAGCCCTCAGTTCAGTAGTCAGAGCGCCGCGCCAGTCTTCGACGAGCTATCCGCCGACTATCAGCCAATGCCGCTTCGGGCCGTTTCGACATCCAGCTACCGGGACACTTTCGGGCTGACTTGTATTGTCGGCTTCCGTTGCTATACTTGCGCATCTTCACGTGATTTAATCACTTCTAGCACAAATCTGAAAGATTCGAGGTTTCGTTTAATTGAGAAAAAAGGACAACTACCTTACGAAGAGTGGAAACGACGGAAGTGCTGTGCCACCGGCATCAAGTAGTTGAGTTGATATCGCGTTAATTCCATTTTATACTTTTTCCTGAAGTCTCACTAATATTTTTTATTTTATTCAATACTGTCTGTCATTTGTACCTTTATCACGTTTGACGTTGAGCCGTGACAGGCCTACTAGTGGGGGTTGAAAACTCCCGGTAACCGCGTGGACAGATAGGTATAAAGAGAAAGAACGAGAGAAAGGGATTGGAGTAAACAGTGAATTAATAATAAAGAATACCGAAAAAGTTCCATTTTAAAAGTGAAGTGAGGAGGAAGAGATAAGATTAAAAAATATTGAAGAAAGTAGAGAGCAAGCAATAAGTGACTGAGGCTTTCTATTTCCTTCAGCGAGACGGTTTTGCGGTTCGTGGCCCTGTTAGAGGGTTTCTCTCGGTCGTGGCCTCCCTCGACGTCGGGTCTCCTCCTTGTCAAACGTGAGACGTCTATCTCTTTTGCCATCACGCGTTAGTGCAGTCAGTGATCGTGCTTATTATACATCTTATTGAAACAACATTAAATAATAATTCATAAAATTAAACTGCATCATCTTGGCGATCATTAACGATCGCATAAAAGTTCTGCAAAGGACGACGAAAGTGTGTCAGTTCATCGTGGTAATGCCTCGTAGATCAGTGAACCAGTTAGCTGGTAAGGAAGCAGGCGGTGTAAACCGAAAACGCTGACGAGACCAGTCCCCACTGGGCCCGGTCCAGGCCATGATCGGCCCGCCAACCCAGAGGGCACGCACCCAGCAGCGTCGTAGTCGCTATCGTCAACCGGCAGAGCCGGTCGACAAAGAAGATAAGGTATCTTCTTCATCATCATCTTCGTCATTATCGTCATCACTACCAACATCATCATCATCCTTGTCTTCATTTGGCGTACAGAGAGTTTGGTTTGCTACCGCTCAAGAAGAGACTAACTGCTGCTGGCTGCCGATCGTGGATGACGAAGACGACGCTGTTAGTTACAGAACCAGGAAGTGTTATTCTACTGATAACAGAACGAGACCACAAGGAAGACGACGTGCAGGAGCACGAAATCATTCAATCTTTCTTCTTTTTGCTACCGCTGCGACCTTCTTTGCACTTTTACTTCCTCCAGGTATGTGTTTTTTTATTAATCCATTATCTTTAAATCGCACTTGTTTTCCTTAAGATAAATTTATTCAACAATCAGGAAGAAATTTAGCATTATGATTCAAGGGTAATAATGATGAGATTTAGCTGCAGAAGTATGTATTTATTTTGAGAAGAATTGGTAATATTTTCTCAGTGCCTTTCTTTCAACATGCTGTCCTCTTATCGTACTTGTTCTCTCTATATTCGCTACGAGAGAAGTCAGTGTAACGGACGCAGTCTCGTCGCCGACAAAATATCGTAGCGTGTGTCTCGCAGACACTTTCGAGCCGCGCCCACGTAGTCATTGCTGTTATTTATCCCCATGTCTGCTGATGCCGGGTGCCAAGAGTGTATTTTTCGCGCGCTATATACTTGGATGGATCGTCTCTTGTCCTCTCTTTCCGTTTGTCTTGATGCTGAAATTGTTTGAAGATCAGATACATCAGCACCATCAGTTTAAATGAAACAGAACAGTTTTTTAGCGTAAAAAAATACTTTTCAATTTTATCTAATGACCATCTAATACGATTCTATTGTTTCTTATCAACTGATATTAACTGCATGAACTGCTGGAGACGTTAATCTTCTTTCCTGAATTTTTTTATCGCAGTTTATCAAGCCATTTTGTTGATTAGAAAATTAGACAGTAAGGATTAGCTCAATCGATTTCGACACGTCTGCTGGAAGTTGAGGTCCAGCTAATCGATAGAATTGATTGGGTCAATTGATCTGACAATAAATTCTTAGAATATCCATCAGTCAGTCAGTCAAAGGAACTTGCCTTTTTTAATTCATTTTTGTTGAGTATAGTGTAGCAAAGTAAGATGTTTTTTTTGCTAAATTCTACCAAATTAAACACAGCTTTCAGACAAAAATCAAAGAAAAAAGAAATTATTGATCATTTTATTTGTTAAAAACAGGGGAAGTAATAGCTACTGTCGCTTGACACTTAAGATTAAGATGTATTTATAATTATTTATTTCCCTGTCTGGTGTAGAAACATGAAACGAAAGAGTTGAAAATGTTAAGTATAAGATATTTTTTAGTCTCAAGTATATATTCTTTCGTATCCAAGACCTCCCAACGCGAATTTATATCACGAATCTGTGATCGACGGGGAGAAGAGAGAAGCTGTGGCTCTCCCCAATTCTATGCTACTCTTAAATTTAGACATTATCCAAACTTTCTCTCTTCTCTTCTTTCTAAAAATCCACTAGATTCGTTTCCACTTAGCTTGAGTTTCTTCTTTTCTTCTCCAAATTATATACCTCTTCCTTTAAATCATCACAAATATCTTATACTTTTTATCATTTTATTACCACGAAAATGTTACAATGTAGATTCATGATATATATAATGCCGAGGTAAAGCAACTGTTTTTCTAGATTACAGAATTTTAAATTCAAAAATTCCAATTATTGACACTCTATTTATAATTAGGAATTGTATGATCTAGTTTTGGTTTCTTTATTGATAATCAGCACAAAGTGACTATTAAGTTTTCTTAAGAATTTTTTGTAAAAATGAAATGAAAGTAACTTGACTTGATAAAGTAACTTATCGATTTACAAATAACATTAAAAAGTTTTCAAACCAATTTCTGAGAAGTATGGAATTTTTATCTATAACTTAACTATTTGAGAATTAAACCAAAAATAATTTTACTTCTTTCTAGTTAGAAACTGCTTGTTTTGATTATAAGTGCAAATATTGGAGTACAAAACTTTTCAACATATTTTTTTGTTCAGCTCCTTATAGCTTCAAATATCATGTTGAGTTTTTATTTATATTTAAACGAATCATTTTGATTTGGAGTGACTTTTTTTAAAAGAATTGAATTGGTTAAAAGAAAATACTTTGAATTAATATACAAACAATCTTCCTGTCATTTCAGATAATAGTCAAGAAATTTTGCTTCTCCAAAAAATTCTTTTCAAAGTACATCTTCTAACTTTAAATCTGAAAATGTAATATAAGTTATTTTATTTTAATTCAATATTTTATGACTAGATATTCAACAAAATATTTATCTGTTATATTTTCTGGTTCAAACAATGATTCATATAGAATAATATTTAAAAATTTTCATCAAAAATTATTCATAAATGCTTTCTTTATACGAGTATTGAGCTTCAATATTTAATTTTTGTATTAGGAATATTTTGCGTTTCTAGGGGCTATTTGGCTTAAGTCGGCATCTTTTTTTTTTAGGGAGGAATGACGTGTGCCCTTCCGCCCTATACGTATTTGTACCCCCCTAAACTGAACACGCACCATCGAACAAATTTCCGTCCTGGTCTTGCAAGGATATATTTCGTGCAAAGTACAATAAAATTATGTATCTTTGTATCTCTGTTCTGCACTTAGCCGTTTCCTATAATGCTGTGAAATTTAACAGATTCAGGGATTTCTATCCTGACAAGGGATTAACTCAACCCTCGTTATTCATTGTTACTTTTATATTCTATAAATGTCCTCATGTGTCTGTTATTTTATAAAAAAATCTACATATTAATAGGCGAAAAAATATATCTAAATAATGATTTTATAAGTGAATTAATTTTTTATAGGCCATTCAACTATTGAAATCCAATCTCATATGATGATAAATGAGGCGCCACGACAAAGTGCATTCTTATTGAGTTCTTTGTCCATGGCAGCGCTTATGAGCCACATTCGATCGACTCTTTGAACTCTTTATTCCTCCCAATAGGAATCTGTAATCCTTAACAAATAGATTTTTCTTGGGAAACGATTGAAAAGTTTTGAGAGAAGTGCGTAGCTCTAAAGAACTGTTTACACAAAGAAAAAATGATCCCAATTTCTTCCGAGACCAACTCTAGATTCAATTTATTTTATTTTTTATGTCTAAAAAATGAACTTTGATAAATAAATCTTTTTTCGAGGATTTGATTATCAACATGAATTGTTAATAAATTGTCTCATACTTGGAAATATTTGTATTAAATGTTCTAATCACATTTTTCATTGATTATTATCGGAATATGAATTCATTTTTAAGAATTTTTAACAAAAAAAATTATTTGAAATAATTATAATATAGCTATTGATTCGTTGTTATTAGTTATTACAAAAAATATGAGTCGTAATTAATAAAAAGCATAAATTACCAATGTTTATATGGGAAATGATGATTATTTGAGTAAAATAAATACAAAAATATTATTAGCAATGATAGATGTGTATTAGATATGTTATATAAAGGGCAAAAAAGTTTTAGGGTTCGTGTAATAGAGTATCAATCTTACGATAGTGGAAAAAATTTATCATGGCGGTAAAGACAAAAGAAATTGAAGAAAGATAAGGAAAACGCTCACGTACTGAAGAAAAAGTAAGAGTAATACAATAGATATACATATAGTGATATTAAAGATAAGGAAAATTCAATTTCATACTAAATATATTTACTTAAGATATTCTTTTTCTAACAGATAATTTTTACATACATTTTTCTATTTTCGTAACGTCATTTTATGTACTATAAAAACCCACACATTTGTGTCACCCTTTTGATAAGTCATACTAATTACATTGACACATTTATGACGTCAAATTTACGGATAAATTCATGAGTAATAGCTCCAATATATTTTTTCTTTTTACTTCTTCACTAAAACCGAAGTTTTTGTTACTTTTATTTTAGTCCACGATTTCACATCTTTTCGAATTATTTATTAGAAATAAATTAAATTTTACATTTATTTTAATGGACTTAAGTGATTGTTTTAATGAGTAATTAATAACTTTAAAAAAAAATATTTATTCTGAATAAATATTAATACTCTTAATAAAATAGAACATTTGTTTAAACATTTACATAACACTTTATTCTCTTGGAAAAAATTTAAATAATTTAATTTTATATTCATACTGAATATTTAAAGAAAAATAATATATTTATTTGAATATCATATTTAACCATAAAAATTACTTAAAATTATCCACTCAATATCTTTCCACTCCAACAACTTCTTATTTCTTTTCCTTCAAAAAATAACAAGGAATTACAGAAAAAAACACGAATCCTCCAACACTGAATACGTGTAGTTATATGTTTGAGTGTTTAGAGCATTTTAGAACACATAAATTGCATCAAGGGGATGGTGATATAGAGCTAAAGATAAAGAAAGAGCAAAAGTGAAGAAGGTGAGAAAGAGAAAACCTTAAGAATTGTTCACTACAGTGATGCTTGTGTATTAGGCATGACAGCTGCTGTCACGGTTGGTGCTTCGACCATGTGCTCGGTCGTGTGCGCACACGTCTCAGATATTTTTTTTCATGCACCCTCATTTGATGCACGTATTCTTATACGTATGATCTCACTATCATTCTCTATTGCTCAATAGACAACATTCTTCAGTATTACTTGTCTCTTTTCTTCATTAGTTTTCATAGCACTCTCACTTCTAAAAGAACCCACTTGGTTCAAGCGTCCTTCTTATCATCATGTTCCTTGGGGGTGTCTTTGAAGGTTGTCTTAACCCTTTCAAGCATTAAATTACGTGCAAAATGTGAAGCCTGTGGATTCATCATTAGTTTAGTTTCCTTTTTTTATATAATTTTGTTTCAATGATGATATTTAATTTTTAAGGATGGGGTAAATGTACTTTGCATTTAGCTCATTCATTCTACTTAAGTACACAAAAATCCAATAAATTTTTACACATAATATTTTAGTTAAAGTTTTTAAAAATAATATATTTATTATTATTAATCGTTAATTTTGATTTAACATTCAAAGCTGGAATCTTTTATCTAGGAATAAAAACGTTTATATAAGAGTTTATCAACCCCTTGTAGGTACTCTAAGCTTCAAGATGTTCTTTTACATCGTTGAGATAAGAAATTTATTCGAAATGATTAATTATCAGTTTTCTTTAGAGAAAAAAAAGTCTTGCTAGAGTTAAAGCACTTGGTGTTCATTTTAAAAAAGTGGGTAATTAGAGAAAAAAAAGTTACTTA